ACATAGGCCCTAGCCTACATCTTAAACTAGGGCCTAGGCCACCTACCTAGGCCTAGCCTAGGCCTACACAGAACAGCATAATGATATAGGCCTAGGCCTATATGGCCAATCCAATCCAATATCATCACATCGTCATCGAATTCAGTATAGGCCTAGGCCTAGGCCTACTACTTTAATATTCCATCCGGGCACTAATGAACTTTAGTACTGTAACACTTCTATCTTCAAAAATTATCTTTTTACCTACTGTGCGCTGCTAACAATCTCTTACGATTCTTTTTCATCCAGTTTTCTCACTAATTACACCAGTTTTTAGCATTTTATTTCTAAAAACAACGTTCTTTCCCAGCGATTCATGACGATAGCGACTCGCGATGCTTGTTTATAAATAATTAATTGCCAGGTTGTTATCCAATTTTAAGGACAGCTCTGTTCGTTGCCAGGTTTTTTTTTTCCCATTTTGTCAATTAAAGCGATGCCTTTTCATAAATTGTTATTTGTATTTTTATCTGTATTGTTTATATTGTTGTTCCGGTACAGTACAATATTAATAATGACATATTACATTTAGCTGCATTCACATCGAATTCCCATCAGAAATTGTTTTTGTGTGACCGATTCTTTTAGGACCATACTTTAGTCAACAACCGTCACGTCACAGGGCCCTCCGTCGGGGAGATCTGCCCCACCCCCCGGGGAGAAAAAGCACAATTCGTCGGGGAGAAAAAAAAGTATATGTATTTTCTACATATTAGTAGACTATAAAGTCGATATAAGCCTTTGAAACTCCTAAATTGTCAAAATATTCCGGGGATTCCAGGGGAGGATTTAGGGGGCCCCCGGCCCGCCCCCACCCCCTTTTGGGAGGTCAAAAAAGAAAAAAGAAAGAAAAAAAAGAAAGAAAAAGAAAAAATGATAGCCCAGAATGCCTCAAATGTTATTTTCTGGCGTACGTCTAGAACACAAAGATTTCGCGGAGGCATGCCCCCGGACCCCCTAGGACATTGTTGTCTCGTCGGCCCAAATTTCGCCCCCCCCTTTTTGGACATCTCTGGATCCGCCCCTGGATTCGCCCCCAGGACCACTTTCGAAACCTTTTAATCGAAGCTCGGCCACGCCCACTTTGCTTTCGTCGAGGAAATCTGACCCCTCGTCGGGGCATCGGCCCCCTCGTCGGGGACCTCGGCCATCACTCCCCCCTCCCGTCTGACAAATGCTGGCGCCACCCCTGGATCTGTCCCTCGATCCCACTGAGGCCCTGGGCGGCCCCACACCCCCAACCAGTAGAGAGAGAGAATTATATTCATATATTCATTTTATCTTTTATTTCGGAATATAGGCCTATATAAGTTAAACGATCTATATGTAATAACTTATTGGACATGTATGATGTAGCCAGTTATGCTTTCTTTTTTTTTAGAACGGCAAATAATTGATATAAAATTTCCCATCAGAAACCTCCCAAAGACTACCATTCCACCCACCCCCACCCCTAGACCCCAACAAAATGTTCAGAGTAACGTAATGTCGATTAAGAATAACCGTGTATTAAACGGAAAATAACGTGATGTAAATGGGCGGATCAAAGAAAATTTTGACGGGGTGGAAGGTGGGGTGGGGGGCACGGCATGTAATATAGCATTATTCTTGTGGATCCGCACCTGAATTTTAAATGAGAATAATGTATGTCGATTGAGAACTGCAGCATGTTGATTGAGAACTGCAGGTTTATTGAGAACTGCAGCATGTTGAATTGAGAACAACAGCATGTCGATTCAGAATAAACATAATGTAAAATGAGAATTATCATGTAAAATGAGAATAACGTAATGTCGATTGAGAACAACAGAATGTAGATTGTGAATACAGCATGTGGATTGAGAACTGCAGCATGTCGATTGAGAACCGCAGCATGTCGATTGAGAACCGCAGCATGTCGATTGAGAACTGCAGCATGTCGATTGAGAATAACAGCAAGTCATTTGAGAACAACGTAACGTCGAATGAGAACCACAGCATGTCGATTGAGAACTGCAGCATGTCGAATAGAGAATAACGTAACGTCGATTGAGAACAACAGCATGTCGATTGAGAACACATAATGTAAAATGAGAATTGCATGATGTAAAATGAGAATAACGTAATGTCAATTGAGAACAACGTAATGCTGATTGAGAACAACAGCATGTCGATTGAGAACTGAATGTCGATTGAGAATAACAGAATGATGAAACATCAATATAGAAGGCAGTAACGGCGCTCCATATATTATCGAGGGTTCACATTCAACTTTAGCCCAGGCTTCCTAAATAGAAACTTATATTTTAGTCATTTTAAATGCCTCCAAGATTGCTTGTATTACTGGCCTACATGGTAATGTTATATAATTTCAATTAAAGAAAATATTACATAAGTAGTTTTTGTAATCCAAAAATTAATTAAATATATTTATATTTAATTTTTAATTATGTATTTATAAGAGAGCGAAATATGGCGGACACTGTAAGGGGAGCGTGTTGTTGTAGTTGGACGAACATTATTTGACGAAATTTAATGGATGTCTTAACATAATCGTATTAATAATTATTATACTTCTTATTCATGTTATAGCGTAATATGTCACTTAATAATATTTTAAGGTTTGGCTGTTTTCAAGTAAATGTTTATATAGGAATTGCAAGGCCTGGCTTAGCCGGTTGCGTTAGGCGACATTTCCGACAACATGCAGGTAGTAGTGGGCCTAGTAGACCCATACATACTAGGCATACCCGTAGGCCTAGGCTTGCTTTGGTGACTGGCAACAAGAAGATGCATTATTCGACGTCGTTGTTTACAACAGCAACTGAGTCTGAAAGGGTGCCGTTTGTTATGAAGCCAGAGTTTGACTTTCATAAATTATTTCATGAAGATAATGTGGTTTACCTGAAAGAAAGCATTTTGAAGAGGAAGTTACGTGTAGATTTGAATAAAATAGTAAGTCAATCAAAAGTCTAAAAAAATGGCATTGTCTCTCGCAAGTGACAACAGCCTGCTTTTTTTTAAATCAATTTATTTCTGTATCAAAAAAAAAAAAAAAAAACAGCAGCCAATGGCTGAAATTTTTTTTATTGTATTTATTATGAATTGTTAAATACTGTGTGTTTAAGAGAATTTCTAGAAAAAAATATATTTGCGTACAACACTCATGAAGATATGACTTTTAGTTAGTTACGCACCGCTGCAACTCCATTGTTTGTCATCACTTTAAGACGTCTAACGATTCATATGAAAAGGCGAATTTGTACAATTCCTGAAAAATTTATACTGTCCCTGGTATTCTGGTTTTGTGCTACTGATGCGAATAGGCAAAAAAAAAAAAAAAAAAAAATTAATAATCACAAAAATGTGTCAAAAGTGTATCACAGACGCTCGTTATCCAGTAAAAACCCTGCTGGGAACAATATTTTTTCTCTGCAAAGATAATTATAAAAAATGTTTTCTTTCTATTTTATTACAGATGTACCTTTGGGAGAGAGTAAAAGATGTTGAAGAAAACATGAATTTCTTGCAAACAAGGAGGGAAAGTTTAAAGGAAGAAGGAAAGAACTTCAACAGACAGGTAGATATTTAGGAAGCCATCTAAAATCCCAGGTTGCCATATCGGTTGTACTTCCGACTCTCAACCTTACAGTTACACTACAGTGTGTTGAAACCTATGCTACCTACAGGCATTTATAATGTGCCTCTTCCTTGCGGTTATAAAGTGCAGTTGCAAATTATGGGTTGAGTGACCAGGTGCATTTAAGCATTTTTTTTTTGTGTGTGTTAATATTTCTATGTTGTGTGTATTTTGTTATTTCAGAAAAGTGCTTCTCAGGAAGTGAAAATGCAGTTTCGCACAGAAGGAAAGCGTATTCGAGAAAACTTGAAAAAGGCCACAGTACGTTAAAAGCTACTTCAAATTTTCTAGATTATCTTAATCACATGCTCAGTCCATTTAGCTGTTACTGCAGCTTGCTCTACTCCGCTTCTTAGCTCCAACCCCTCTAGTTGGGCTTGTCTACTGAGCCCCCAAACATTTGTCTTGCAGATCCAAACACTATACCTAAAACTGCTCAATCTATTGAGATTTTTTTTTTATGGTAATTAATGATGAAAAAACAGTATAATGTTATGCCCTTATTTCTTGCAGGCATTGTATAATTCATTATCACAAGAACTCTACCTCTCAGTACTTCAACTGCCAAATATCCTACATCCAGAAACTGTAAGTAGCTATTTATATTTATACATAATAACTAATATTACTTCATCAGGTAGATTAAATTCTAAACTGGCCAGGTGAGTGAATGGATGCCTGTTTGAGTGCATACCAGTTGTACTCTTTTAAACATATTGTTTTCATCTATATGTTTTTGTTAAGTGTTTATTACTGGTTAAATAGTTTCATCTGGTTTCCAATATGCAAGTTCCATAGAGATATTTAAAAAAAATTAAACCAATACTCACTGTTTTTTGTGAATGACAGTTTTGCTATACTGACACTAACAATTAGTCTTAGCCCAAATGTCAGTAAGGCAGGAACACAATTAAAAAGATGGCTAGTGAATCTCCCAAAAATGCCACTTACCACTCAAGAGAATACTGTGTCAGCTATTAAGGGCAATTGTGCAATCACTAAGCCAAAGCACCCGATTGAGGAATTAATTGTGGCTACAGAATCAGCCTGCAGTTTAGTCCCATTCATTTAGATAAGAAATTTCTCTATGGAAATTGCGCATTGTCCTTATACAGATGAGATGATTCCTGTGTGCAATATTACCCATATGCATTTAAAAAAATGAGGTACACTCTTTGGAAAAATGTAGGGGAGTGCCACCTGGTGTACTGACACATTCACCACCAAATAAAGCTGTTATACTATAGAATGTGCTATGTCACAATCCACAAACTGTACCTGATGATGACTTTTGTGCATTGAATTTAAAACAAACATTTTAAATGGTTTCATTTTTAAGCCTTCTGAAGAAGAGGTCAAAGTTATAGAAGTCCATGGAAGTAAAGCAGATACCATGCCAATAAAACATGTGCCTTATGGAATAGAGAATGGCCTCCTAAGCATCAAGTAAGTAATAAAATTGGATTAGAAATATACACGTTTTTGTTAAGTCTAAGTAAGTAAAACGAGATAAAAAAATTTCTACCATGCCAAACTGCAAAATGTTCATGTTTCATGTAGCACATTAGATTTTCCATCATAGCAGATTTTTTTGTGTTGCCTAAACACATTGTGCCATGAACCAGGGATATCCTGTTTGAAGTCCTTTTCCAAAAATATTTTTACACCAGCAAAACCATGAGTTAGCAGGTTCTCAAGCCAACGCCAATGTAAGTTGTTGCAGTACCTCTGCCCAACTGCTTGACCAATCCACTCGCTCAGCTATGTTGCATATTGTCGATGACTTATATTGTTTTCAATTTCAAGGGCAATAATGCCAGAACTCCAATATTAATTGTGATTATTTTGTTGTTTATAGCCACGACATTGTAAATCCGGGGATGTGTTACTTGCATGGTAAGGCGGCTTGGCTGCAGATGGCACTCTTGTGGTGGATGAGCAATGCTTTGATGGACAGAGGCTTCATGAGGTTCTCAAGTCCAGACATGTACAAACCTGTAGCATTGGTATGTAAATATGTTGTAACCTTTAACCTTTATTTTTTTTTTAGTTTGTGCTTAAAATTGAAATAAAAAGACTACCTCGAAAATAAACTTAAACCCCCTGATGCTGCCACTGTCAAAAAGGCAAGCATTTTACCCACCAAACTACAGCCAAGTTTAAAGACGTTAGATTTTATGTCTAATAAAATCAGATTACTGTTGTAATTTTGATTTTTTTTTTTTTTTTAGGAAGCAGTTTGTGTGGATGTTACAGATCCAGAGCAGGTAACATAAATTACCTTCAATTTCAATTGAATTTTGTAAACCTAAGTGGGTAGCTGATATATTTGATACATTTACTATTTGAAACTGTAAATGTTAATTTAACATTCTATTACAATTATTTTTCTTAATGATAGTTTTATTAAAAAACTGAGACAATATAACCGTGGTGTACCAAAATTTAAATTATTATTTATTGTTTTTTTGCCATGCAAACAAATCACAGCGCTTCATCTATACAACTCAAGATACAAATGATACACTGTATGTTCTAGAAGGTATTGTTGGTGGATGTAGAGATCACTCTTACCACCTAACTTCTCATTGGATGAAGAATTACTGTAGATCAGTGCTTTCCAAACTGCGACTCAAAAATGAGCTGCCAATATTTTCAGTGGGTTACGGAAGTGTTTCTGTAAAAAAATTGATAATCATGTTTATTCTGTCACTGAAAGAAGACAAAACAACATAAATGACTATAAGAGAAGAGAACTTATCAATGTTCTGACAAGGTGGGTCAGCGGTGTAAGGCCAATAACCGAAGTGGTTCCCCAGGAAGAAAGTTTGGAAGCACTGCTATAAACAACACTGTACTTCTTTTAATGACCTTTGAAAAGGTTTTTACTACAACATCTACATTGTAATTGTCTCTTCAGGTATTTTCAGTTCTTACAAGTGAAAGTAATCTGTACCTTACTGGTGTGTCTTCTGCTGTGTTTTCAGGTAAGTGTGGGAAAAATTTGGTTTGAATCTACAAATCCTTGATGTTTCCCAATGATGAACAAACAACCCCACTACCTAAGACTGATAGCGTTACATTCTTACTCATTGGTCAAATAAAACAGTCAGGAATTAATAGAGGGGAATATTCCATTTCAAGCATTTGGGGTCACTTTCATTTTCCATTTTAAGGTTTCATTTGTAGTTGTCTTTGCTACTCAATTATGTTGTTTTCGTTTTTTAAGTAAACAAATCATATGAATCAAATGTCAATAGAGTTTAGTTAAATGTTTAAGATAGCCTGATGCTGATATTATTATTATATATTTTATTTATTATGTGAGATTTTTCTTCCTCCAGGTTACTACATGATGTCTGTGATTGAGAATGCTGACCTACCTCAAAGGTGTGTTAAGCCATGTTCACATTGGCCAAACTTGCTAGTTCAACTAAATTAGATCACTCCCAGAAAAATTGACTGGTTTGTTCAATGTGGACAGCGGCACTTCATGTTACATGACAATATTGATTACTATTTTATTCAGTGACGGATGAATTGAAGGACGAATAGAGGAAAGCCATGAAAGCAAGAAGGAAGGAATGATGGATGGATGAATAAAAGATGAAAAGAAACAAGGATGGAATAATTGATAAATAGATTTATGGATGAATAAATAAATGAATAAATAAATAGAAGGAAAGATGGATGGATTCAAGAAAGGATAGATGGGGTGTTAAGTTGATGAATTGAAATAGAAAGAATGGATGTATGCAAGCAAATTGATAGATGTTACAAGGTGTGTTGTTTTTCTTTCAGGTCCTTTTCAGTTGGAACTCACTATGATGCTTCTAAAGGTATATTGTGAGTTGTTAGATTAAATTTTTCAATGTAGTATATATACAATTTGATTCCTACTCTTACTAAGGTACACAAATATTAACTATACATTGTTTTGTCGTTAATACTTAGAGATGTCATAAGACAACTTTCGTTTTCCAGTTGTGCTGTACTGTACATAGGAAAAAATCATTTTACTAACTTACAATTAACTCTCTAAACAGTATTTCACAATTTATTACAAACAATACATGATATAAGTAACTTTCTCATTTGACTTCATAGCAACCTTTGATATTCATAAGGATTATATTTTTTGGACTATATTTGTCTCTTTCAGAATCCCAGTCTTTTTTAGGCCTACCCACCATAATGCAAAGAAGCCAGATTGAGATAAGTTGTCTATGCCACGCAAGCAGTGAGAGTGATTCTGTATTTCACCAGACCACTGACATGCTGCTAGATCTGTATTCACAACTCCCAGTGCAGTTAAGGTGAGTGTCAATAATTCTCTTAACACTCTGACCGCCAGGGGTTTGAAAAAATAGTATCAGCCACCGCCAGACATTTTAGCGAATTATAACATTTTTCCGAAGCTCGTTGTGAGTGCACATGTGATCAGACTGACATGTAATGAATATTACAAGAACTACAAACATCTTAGCTTTACAATGGTACCAAACACTTTATTCTAATCACAATCTGTGACCCGTAACAGTAAAATAAAAATGACGCACCTTTGGAGATTTACGCACTTTCACACAACGAAGCTGATATAATCGCGATTTCATAAAGAAACAAATGAAATGAGTGAAAACAAGTGAAATACCTACAGTCCAGACTGAATATAGTGTTCAACTTATTAGTACATGTCGGTAATTACCCCATTTATCGGATTACGTTAAAAAATCTGAAACACGAAGATCTCTGTGTTTGGCGGTCAAGCGTTGTGTTACCAAACACAGATCTCCCTCACAGATCTTGATGTCAGTATTAGTGAGAGCTGCTAAACTGGTGGTAGCCACTGTTTTTGAGATGAGACATTTAAGCTGTTGGTACCGTATGCATTATGGCCCGTGTGCACGTTGAAGAATACAGTACACTATTCGGAAGGGAGTAGGGGATTGTCTCCCGGTGTACTGCCCAGTCACCACCAGAAGGACCCCACTAGGAATAAGTCTTCTTCAAACTTTCGTGGGTTATACATGGTGTTTACACCGAATAAGTTCATCCATCCATCAATCCAACATCAGCAACAGCCACAGCATCATTGTCCTTACCATTGTTTTCATCAGAAAGTTGATTGGTGCATTTTTAGTACTATGGTTATAACATTACACAGTTTTATAGTCAGAAGTCTGCGTCATAGTCATGTTAATCATCGTCATTATGGTTATGATGATTATGGTGACATCATCAACATTATCATTAGCAGCAACAGCAACAGTCTCCTTACCAACAAGTTGTTTGGTACATTTGTAGTAGTACTGTATAATTATGACATTAACACAATTAGATAATGTAATAATAACTACACAATATATGACTTGATTGCTTTTCATTACATGTTTAATTTTCTTTAATATCCATTCTGTTTTCACTAGACTTGTTGAGGTTGGCACCAAAGATCTCCTTCCTAGTATGTACAGAAAGCAAGCAATTCAGTTATTGTTGCCTTCAACACAAGAATATTATGAGGTAAAGCAAAGGATTTGATCTCAAACATATTTTTTAAACTACATTTTTTACTTGTGTGAGGTATTTGGTGAGGTTGAAATGGATTATTCTTGCGATCATGAAATTTGACCACTATATTCGTATGCTATTGGTATTTGGAATGGTACCTTCCAAAAAGTAGTACTTATCCTGTGATCTTGTTCAAGCTTAGTTCAACTCATTTTGTCTGGTGCTGTGATTTACTGTACTTTTCTATACTTTAGGTTGCTTGTGTCTATAACTGTACTGATTATATCAGTAGACGCCTAAAGATAAGATACCCAGCTGATCCTACCCAAAGAGCAGCTCAGAGTAGGAAGAGAGTACATGCACATACGGTAAGAACTCACTTATTGTAAGCTAGAACATGTACACAGTAAGATGTTCTTCTTTACTGTGGCTTAATACAGCATTCTGCAAAATTTTTACTTCACAGCCTACTTTAGATTCTAGGTACCAAGTCTAGGCCCAGCCACGCCAAGGACCAACATACCAAAATGTGTCAAGAAGTTCTGATCAGTAAAATTACCTCCATGTTCTTACAATATACAGTAATTTAACTTAATTTTATGTTCTATTAGTTACAAAATTGTGTATAACTGCCTTTTTCTATATACCAATAAGGCAGTTTTACAAAAACGAATTTTTGATTTTTTTTTCTGGGCGACTTTGTGGTCCTCCAAAAATGTTTTGGACCCAAAATTGAGCAGTGGCCCATATTTTGCTGACCGTCGGCCTAGTACATACACATGTACATACAGTTTACCCTCCAATTCGAGACAGCAGTTGGAACCCAAAATGTGGGGTGGTTTCTGGTTTGGGATTTTGCTGTGTGTTAAAAGATTGAAGATTGTTAGGTGGGACTTTAAAAGTGTGTTCTTGATTTAGAGTGTCTCGGAATTAGAGGGGTCTCGAATTGGATGAACAATTCTTTACTTTCTTTGTCATAGGCTGTTAAATTGGCTGATAAATTTACGGATTTTCCTATTAAACATTTTATAAAATCAGCTAAAATTTAATTGTTTAAATCTGTGTCTTGGGAAAATAACTACATTGATTCTTTGAAATGAGCAATTTAATATTTTAAAGTAAATTTATGTGAGTTCTTTAGGAATACACTACAAACATATTGAAATATGCTTTATTTCATTATGATTTTGACTAAATCATTGCTACAAATCTCTACCCCAAGATTCACGGGACAGCAGTTAATGTACCTGTTCTCCTGGCTGTGTTGTTGGAAACTTGCCAAACTGAGGTAAGGTTGCTTACACTGCACAGGCTAACGACAACTGTTGGAAATTCATTATCTGACAATTAACATTACCAGCATTAACATTTTCAACACCTGTGGTAAAAGGTGTAAAATAGGATATGACAGATCATAATCAATCACAATCAATCTATCAATCAATCAGTCAATTGGTCTTTCAGTCAGTCAGTCACTTGAATCAGTCTATTTAGTTGATTTATTCAATTAATTGGATTAAAGCAGTCACTCAATTCAATCAAGCACATCAGCATTTACTTAGCCCTTGTCCCATGTATCTAGCATATTCCATTACAAATTTTAATATACCTTAAAATTATAAATCTCACATAATGGATAAGACTGAAAGTTCTGTTCTAAACACCTAAAATATGGAACGTATGCATTCAAAACTTACTTACTTAGCAATAATAGAACCATATTAAACACATTAATACACATTATGTAAACATCAAAAGTTGTTACATGCTGTAAATACTCCAAATTTATAACTTTAATGGTTTTACCCAAAGTTATGAAGGCGTCACTGAGGAGCTTTTTTTTTTTTTATAGATATATGGTGCATTTTAAATTCTAAACCCTTTAAAATATTCCAATGTAAAAATCAAGTCAACTGTGACAATTTATCTTGGGCTAGATTGTATTGTAAAAAGTTTAAGTTAAAAAAAAATATTTATGGGTGCACCTCAGTACCATGGCTTATACTGAAGCCCAGTCTTCCCTATCAGATTAACTGTTCTCCAGCACTGAACACTACCACTACTACTACTGCTACTACTACTACAACTGCTACTACTACTACTGCTGCTACTTCTATTAGGACAATTATTTGTTTCTTTTATTGTCAAACTGAATATAATCTTATGTTTTTTTCCCGTTTCTTTCAATTTTAGGATCAAAATCTTGCAATACCAACTGTCCTGACAGATTTTCTCCCTAAAATATTTTCATCTTGACGATTGGCTCGTCAAGTTAATAGGCCTAGATGTTGAATATGAAGCAGTACTTTGAAAGAACACTGCTAGAGCATGGGGCTTTGTGTATCAACATATCTTCGTTCAGTGCATTCCTCTGCTCTATCATACTTAGCCAAAGGCACATGATATAGTATACTACATAAAAGGGATTGCAAAATATGATGAAAATGTGCTCAGTTTTTTAATAATGCAGATTCCATCAGAGGTAGGGAGAGGGCCCCGACTGAGAACTTTGCAGAAAATTGTGGCAATGGCAGAATCATATCTGTGTTGGAATTAACCATGTATGTAGAGAAATTTCAACAACAATTGTTGCAACCTACCGTCATTCATCAGAGAGAATGCATCCATCTCAGGTTGTGAACACAAGATCTATTAGAGTAGTCTCATAGATTTATAGTACCTATGTGCTATTCATATAGTAGGTTTATATTGTATTTATTTTGTATATCCATGTCAATACCAAAAACATTTCTACGGTATATTATATGCTACATCTGTAGCAGATTTTGTTTTTAAAGTGTAATAAATAATAAAGATCATTACATTGTGATTTATTTTTGTTAATGTTTGTCAACCCCTGTTACTACAATCAGGCATGGAGAAGGTATTAAAATGATTTTAATACTTCCACAGAATAGCATAGTCACCAATCAACATATTCCAGTAATATGGCATACTGAAGATTATAGTGACTGCTAGAAGTAAAATCTTTTTTTTTTTTTTTTTATCTCTGATTAGGAGCTCTAAGAGTACCCTGCTGATTGATTAATTAATAGATCTTTTTTGTGGGGGCGGCCTTTCAGGCCACTAGAACCACTTGGCTGATTGATTAATAGATCTTTTTTGCATGGGCGGCCGTTAGGACTCTATTAGTGCCCTTCTGAATAATTGATTAATAGATCTTTTTTGTATGGGCGGCCGTTATGTCCGCTAGAAACACTCGGCTGATTGAATAATAGATCTTTATTGTATGGGTAGCCATTAGGGCCAATATACTCTACTGCCTCTATTATACTGCCCTCATCAGAGCTTTCGAGATTACGAGAACTTGTTATACCAGAATGTACTCTTTCCTTTATACTGTCTTTAAATAAATTTTGGAAACATCAAAATAAAGTCTTCCAGTAAGACAAAAAAATCAAATTTCTGCTGATTGATTTACTTCACTAGGAAAGTGAATAAAACCTGTCAATTTAAGAGTTTAATCGAAGGATGTTATAACGGTATTATCTATTCATTAACAAGACTTCTTATTGAGTTTATTCACGAGTTCATACTCTGAAGAGATGTTGATTTAGTTCTAAAAACTGAACATTACGATCCTTGTGTATAGTGGTAAAATAATTGGTAGGAACAGGGCCGCGACGTGAACGCTCCTTTTTTAGACCCCAATTAACAAGACAAAAAAATTAATTTTCTTGTTATAATTTTCAATTGTACACTAATGCAGTCAATACAGTAAGAATTAAATATGCTAATAAGCTCAACAGACAATTATTTACACAATATGAAAATATAACAACAATATTACTAATAAGTTAATCATAAATAGGATGTTCCTGCATTATTTTCTTTTTTTACTAGTGCAGACCTACAAAAAACAATGATCAGATTAATACGTTCCAAGAGCTTGCACAATGGGAACCAGTAAAATCGCCCCATAGCAAACTCGTCCCTTTCAATCTCGCCCCCACCTTACAAACTCGCCCCTTAACAAACTCGACCCCTACAAACTCGTCCCTTACAAACTCGCCCCCTAACAAGCTCGTCCCCTGACAAACTTGCCCCCTAACAAATTCGCCCCCTAGCAGACTCGGGGCCCCCCAGCAAACTCTCCCCACCGACTATACACAGTCGCCCCCTAACAAAATCGCCCCCTAACAAAATCTCCCCCTAACAAACTCGCCCACTAACAAACTCACCCATAACCTTTTTCTGTCTTCGTCAGATTAAAATACCGGTAAAAAAGTAATAGGTAAGTGAGAAGCACATAACATTGATTTGCATTGAAATTTTAAAATTTAGTATCAAAACGGGGGTCACGTACCCCCGTGCCCTCCTACTGGATCCACCCTTGAAGATCACTATATTAGGACGTCAAATGAAATTGATATTCCTAATTCTACAAAGTCAACCTTCAGCAGACAACTGATGTTGTTTGTAGATGTTATGAAGCTAATATTGAAATGTATATACAGTATATAAATATGAGAAACACCTCCATCAGCGATATACTAAGAAAAACATCTTAGGGCCAAGCTTGTAACTCCTTTTAATTTTGTGATAAGAACATTAATTTTTTTTTGTTACACGCAGCGATAATTTACATGATAATAACTTTGGTATATATATATAAATTTCAAGATTAATTGATATCAGAGCAGTTTTTGAGAATCATTTTAACCAATATCATCGTTTAAAAATTAAGAAAGTTGAATTATTTTTTATGAAAGCGTCCTCTAGAGTGTATTTAGAAGTTCTTTTTATCTGCAATTACAGCGCTGCGTTGCAAAATCGTGAGGTTTCAGCAATTAAGTGGTAGTCGCGTTTTTGCAATGGTCCAGCCGTTTACAATTGTATATAGGAAATGCATGGGCATATGTCGCAGATATCGGTGTAATTAGTTCTATTGGTTCTATTAAAAGATGATTGGTCAATTTATATACCCAGCTTTGGTTTAGGCGTGATCGTGGTCATTGATTAGATTACTTAAGCTTAAATTCGATACGTTAAACTAGCCAAATGATATTTGCTATTTTAATTTACAATAGTAGCTTTATCGATAAATCTAAGTGTTTAGAGTTTTTCAATTATTTTTATTTAATATCGTTTACTGTAGGCCTGTTGTGTTATTCTAAACAGTATTTGTAGTCCTATGTTATGAAGATATGGGCGTGGCGCTTGAAACATTAAAAAAAGTAAAACAGTGGAGTATTTTTATATTTATGACTACATAAATTAAACTTAAAAATGTAACTAGCACATAATGTCTGTTGTCCAATTCGGTTAAATTATTTAGGCTCATTTTTCCTGAGTTTTCTTAAACTGTGAGTATCTCTATGACCTGTATAAAATAACATTTAGGAGACTACATATACGTTATGTATTAATATATATTCTACGTTCAAGAAATATATAACACAAAAGAAGGTAAAACAAATTAAATGACCATCTGTTTGCCACCAGCGATAAACCACTCGACCACCAACAACACTAACATCTTTACATGTAGGCTTCAGTTAAACACTTTAGCCAGATCAATTTCTCTCAATTAACTTGGTTTTAGAAATTATGAAACGTTGATAGCGCTTCCGAGTCCCTATCTCTTTATGCGAAATTGATGCACTCAAGGCAATTGTATGGACATTATACTTCCAAGGTTGTTAGAGTGTATTGCGATATAGGCCTAACGTTTGTTCATCTGAAAACTTAATGTTTGAAACCGGAATTAGATAAACGTTCTCAATTGCTTGAATAATTATTAATTTAAACGACCTAATGTAAGAGGTCGACGCAAATAGGCGTGTAAGCAATCTGTGCAGAAAAAAAAAACTGAACGCAAAAACCTGACGGATTACCAGACGTGTTGGAGGATAATAAGACGATTATGTTCTCAATTGTTTTGTCATATTTACATAGAGTTGTGTAAGAGGTGTTTGGCTTATTGAAATGCAATAATTGGTAAAGAACATAATAAAACGTAATTGCAGTGAATTGGGTATCAGTAGATCATTCGCATGTCACAAATCGCAGAACTAACAAAAGGTTAACTATACACACATCACAAGTGCTTAGATAGTCTGCTAGGACTTATGTTAGGAATAGTATCATTTTTTAGGTTTAACAATGGCGAATAGGGTCATATATACCTGTCTCTTATACACATCTTGATCAGATTAATAC